ATCATTTGGGAGCCCCAAGGGGGAGCCACCCTGGCTGATCTCACGAGCCCGTTCGCGCCGATTTTGGTGGGACGCCTCAGCTAGAATTGCCGTTTGGCCTCCCCAACATGTATCTCTTGAGAGCCTCATGGTCACAAAACGCTGCCAGGGGCATCATTTGGGAGCCCCAAGGGGGAGCCACCCTGGCTGATCTCACGAGCCCGTGACGAGAGAGAGAGAGAGAGAGAGAGAGAGAGAGAGAGAGAGAGCAAGAGAGAGAGAGAGAGAGAGAGAGGAAGCGAGAGAGAGGGAGAGGAGAGAGAGAGAGAGAGAGAGAGAGAGAGAGAGAGAGAGAGAGGCGGAGAGAGAGAGAGAGAGAGAGAGGGGGAGTTGAGAGAGGAGACAGGCGAGAGAAAGAGAGAAGAGAGAAGAGAGAGAGAGAGAGAGAGATACAGAGAGAGAGAGAGAGAGAGAGAGAAAAGAGAGAAGAGAGAAGAGAGAGACAGAGAGAGATAGAGAGAGAAGAGAGAGAGAGGAGAGAGATAGAGAGAGAGAGAGAGAAAAAGAGAGAGAGAGAGAGAGAGAGAGAGAGAGAGAGAGAGAGAGAGAGAGAGAGAGAGAGAGAGAGAGAGAGAGAGAGAGAGAGAGAGAGAGAGAGAGAGAGAGAGAGAGAGAGAGAGAGAGAGAGAGAGAGAGAGAGAGAGCAGAGAGAGAGAGAGAGAGAGAGAGAGCGGGAGAGAGCGAGGGAGAGCGAGAGAGAGCGAGAGAGAGCGAGTGAGAGCGAGAGAGAGAGAGAGAGAGAGCGAGAGAGAGCGACAGAGAGCGAGAGAGAGCAAGAGAGAGCGAGAGAGCGAAAGAGAGAGAGAGAGAGAGAAGAGAGAGAGAGAGAGATAGAGAGAGAGAAATAGAGAGAGAGAGATAGAGAGAGAAATAGAGAGAGATAGAGAGAGAGAAGAGAAGAGAAGAGAGAGAGCGAGAGAGAGAGAGAGGGAGAGTGAGAGAGAGAGGAGAGAGCAGAGAGAGAATAGAGAGAAGAGAGAGAGAGAGAGAGAGAGAGAGAGGCAGAGATAGAGGCAGAGAGAGAGAGGCACAGAGAGAGAGGCAGAGAGAGAGAGAGGCAGAGAGACAGAGGCAGAGAGAGAGGCAGAGAGAGAGAGAGGCAGGGAAAGAGAGGCAGAGACAGAGAGAGGGCAGAGAGAGAGAGAGAGAGACAGAGAGAGCAGAGAGAGCAGAGAGAGAGGCAGCTCAGTCACACTTAAATCCAGATTCGTCCTCACCGAGTCCCACCACCAAGGGAGCGCCAGCAAGGAGATGCACATATGGGGATCCCCACGCAGTGAATAATTTTCCCCCCCCCCCGAGCCCCGGGGCCACGAAGGGCCGCGCTCTGATGTCAAAAGATCAGGGGCAACAATGGGGGTGGGTGGGCATAGGAGGGGGACGCATCGACCCCCATTCGCCCACTGATCGCCGATAGGTGCCCGGTAATTAGCCCCAACCTGCCCAGGAGCGTGCGGATTCGCTGTCGGGGGCCTATCGCCGATCTATCCGCGACGTATCGCCGATTCCATGTCGATGCGCCCCTCCCCTGTGCCAGTCCCCCCCTGTTGTTGCCCCTCACAAGAGGCGTCCACGAAGCATGGTACGATTTCGCAGGAGATTGGGTTTGAGGTTCGAATCCGACTTCGCACAGGAGAAGGATGACATGTTAGGGCTGCGGCCCGCGCGCCTTGCCCCGTGTGGGTCGGCCATCTTGGCCAGACACGGCGCGCCTCGTCTCGCCCCAGGGCCACCAGAGATGCATGACGCAAACGTGCCCCCCCTTCCAGTGCGCAGCGGTCGAGACTTCCCAGACCCCCTCGAGTCATGCACAGATCACGACGGGAGGTGTTTCCCCTCCTTGTCGGCCTCTGAGGGCCCTCACCGGGCCCCGGGGCCGTCAAGAGACGGCTCACGATGCAGAGCCGGTCCTGTTGGAATGGGTGGAGACCTCTGGGGGCCGACGCCACGAAAAAGTCATGATGTCGGGGGCCAGATCGGGGGCGGCCAAGAGGGGGGTGATGATTGGGAGGGCGTCCTGTCCCTGAGACCCTGGCACCCCATTTTTATTCGAGCTGGGCGTTTTCGCCCGTTTTCGGGCCCCGGGGCCCTCGCAGATGGATCAGGCCCGAAAAATGAGGCAGAAAGATGGTGCCTGGGGCTCTGGGCGCGTTTTTCTACGTTACCCTGCAACTTTTCTCGCTCTACGTCGGGTCTCAAGGGGGGGTCGAGACTTGGGCTCCTCCTCCTCCTCCTCCTCCTCCTCCGCCTCCTCCTCCGCCTCCTCCTCCTCCGCCTCCTCCTCCTCCTCCTCCTCCTCCTCCTCCTCCGCCTCCTCCTCCGCCTCCTCCTCCTCCTCCTCCTCCTCCTCCTCCTCCTCCTCACTCCTCCTCCCCGCGGGCGGAAAGCACAGCTCTGCCAGAAGCCAGGGATCGTGGGCCCCCAGAAGGCCGGGGCCCCTCCCCGCGGGGGCCGGCTCCTCGCGGGCGGCTGTTCGGGCTGCCCGGCGAGAGGACCCCTGGCAAGGCCTGAGATGGCCGTCGCTTGGGCCGCGATGAAGGGGGGGGGGCGATGGATGGAGGGGCAGCGAGGGCTGCAGAGAAGGGGCCTTGCAAGTAGGCCCAACGGGAGCCTTTGGGGCCCGAGGAGGGCACCTTTCCCTTCCCCCCCCCCTCATTGATCGCCCCCCATGAATTCGCGCCCATGTCACCATCCCAGACACCCGACGATGCTCGCGATGCAACAACAATCGCGACGGACCGCTTTCGGCCTCGGGGGTGCCCTGTCCGGCCCCGGGACCGTCAAAGAACGATTCGGGATCAAAAGCCGGCCCAGCATTGGGGAAAAATCGGCCACGCGTAGGGGGGGGCGGGGTACTTAGGGGGAAGGGGGAAGGCTTCTTAGAAACACCCTGCTCCTTAGAAGGCGCGGGCCTTGCCTGTAGATAGGGTCGGCGCCTTCAAACAAGCAGCCTCCTTCTCAGAAGCCTTCTCCCCTCCCCATCATGTACCCTTTTGCACGCCGCCAAGTCTGGGAGCCGTGATGCTTTTCCCGGAACTCCGACGTTGTGTTTTTCTCACAGCGTGGACCTTTGGAGGTTTAGAATTCTCCCCCCTGCAGGGCCCCTAGAGGTACAGAACGCCCCCCCCCCTCCTCCTCATCCTCCTCCTCTTCCTCCTCCTCCTTCTCCTCCTCCTCCTCCTCCTCATCCTCGAGTCTTTCGTCCCGGGGTGTTTTTGTTGACGTTCCGCTGGCCCGGCGAGGGCCCCCGAGGCTTTGAAAACAGCCAACAACCTTCCGCCGTGACTTTTCCAGGAAAGGCATGAAGTGATTTTCGGGGCATAGCATGAAGTGATTTTCGGGGCATAAGGGGGCCACATGCGAACCCTACCCCTGCCCCCCACGATTTCTGAGGGGGAGGGTGGGGCTCATTTTGTTCGGGAGCTCCCGAGCGAAGTGAACCCCACCCTCCCGAGTGCTGCCCCTAGGGCCTCGGGGGCAGCACTCGGGCGTCCCGCAGCCGTTCGGGCGACCCAGGCACGCCAGGAGCGCCTCCGTCGAGGCGCAGCTGCTTGAAGGCATCCCGAGGCCAGGAATCATGGCGCCAACATCGCAGAGCGGATTTCGTTCGGAGAACGATCGGGTGGGCCCAGGGTGTCCAGGAGAACTTAGTTCCGGATTTCGAGGTGAATTTCGTGCGGATTTCGTTTGGCCAGGAATGAAGACCAAAAAGAATCCACGCGAAATTCGCTTCGTTTTTCGCTCGCCGCCTCGGGCAAAAAGCCACGCAGAAATCCGCTGCAGCACGCCTGCAAGGCTGGTGCAAGGACAGGAAAGCGAACCTCCATCCCCAAGCGTCGCGAGGAGGTCTGGGCACTCGCCGCGCCGAGGCTCTAAGCCGCCCATGATCCTGCGCCTACTTAGGGGGGTCAGCCTGTTGGGGGCCAGCAAAAGGTAGGCTCGGTTCTTTGGATGCTCCTTGTTCGGGGCCGCATTTGCCGCCACGGATCTGTTTCCTTGGCTTTTCCTGCGCGTATCTCTGTTCGCATCCCCGGGCCAGTCTGTGTCATCAGAAGGTACTTCGTCCTTCGTTTGCCCCTCCTTGGCTCCGACCCCCACTGGCGGGCGAAGGGCGTGACCCCCGTGCTGCTCTGCGCCGCGGCGGCGGCGCTCGCGTGCCCGCGCGCCGCGCTGGGGCTTCAGCTGGAGGGCCGCCAGGCGCCGGAGGCGGTCAGTCTCGGGCGCCAGGAGCTTCGGCTGCGCAGCAGGCATGCCCGCCCAGCGGTGTCGAGGCGGTACGGTCGGACCCAGGGTACCCTGATGTTCTTCCTGCCTGTTGGATGTTCCTGAGCATCCTTGGGGAGGGTACCCTCGAGTGATCTTCTGGTTCGGGGTGTTCTGGCGGGCGAAGGGTCTCATGTTCTTGAAGGATGTTTTTCTGTCCTCGGTCCGACTGTAGTTCACCAAGCCCGTCGATCGCCCAGTGATGCATTTGGTTCCCTGGGCGATCGACGGGTTGGGATCGCCCGTCGATCGTCCTCGTGCTTCCCTCCTGATCCGCATCATCCTCCCCCCTTCTTCTTCGTCTCCAGGCCATGCTCTTCTTTCGCCATCCCTCTCCCTCGCTCTTTCATTATATATATATGTATATATATATGTACAAACACATATTCGTACATATATAACACAGCATGTTTACATAACTATATATATATATATATCTATATATAGATGTATGTATAACTCCTCACTGTCGCACCCCGAGACGCGTCTGTAGGGCGGGCTGGACGTTTCGCCGGAGACTTCCTCACCACTTCTGATCCTTCAGCTGAAAGTTGGCAACTGTTTCACAGATGAAGGGTGGGTTATGTTCAAAGTGTGGCTCTGGTTTTAGCGCCGCGCACCTTCGTCTTACATATTGTACGAGTTTTGTCGGATAGAGGGCGGTGTGTACTTTTTCTAAATGCGGCTCTCGCCTTAGCGCCGCGCGCATTCGTTTTAACAGTTTGCAGGAGTTTCACGTGTGGAGGGCGGTACCGTTTCGAAATATGGTTCTCGCCACAGCGCCGCGCTCATTCGTCTCAATAGTTTGCAGCAGTTTCAAGGATTCGCATGGCTGACGTCCCAGAAATAGCGTTTCGGCATGATGTAGGACTGTCAGGGCGCAGCAGTTTGCGTTGATTCGCGGTGTTGAAGTCCCAGGAACGGCTTTCTGCCACGGTTCTGGATCGTTAGGACGCAACCGTAATGTCGATCCGCGGGGTTGAAGCCCTAGGAATGGTGTTCTGCACGGCTCAGGGTTTTCAGACGGTTGTCTGGCAACGGGGCATTTCCTTCAGTGAACATGAATCTTTGTAACATCCTCCTGGGCTGCGCGTGGAGAGCGGCCCTTCGCCGAAGGTGACAGTCGGCGGCGCGCCCGGGGGGGGGGGAAAGCAGGCCCAGGTCTCGGCTTCGAGGTTCGAGCTTTTCGGCGTTTTCGTCGGCTCTCGGCGGGCTTCCGGTCTCGGGATACCTTCCAGCAGCTGCGCCTCGCCGAGAGCGCTCCTGGCGTGCCAGAATCGTCCTGAGCGGCTGCCACAGACCCGAGTGATGGCCCGAAAGCCTCCTCCTCCTCCTCCGCCCCCTCCTCTCTCCCCCTCCTCCTCCTCCTCCGCCTCCTCCTCCTCCGCCTCCTCCTCCTCATCATCCTCCTCCTCCTGGTCATCCCTTCTGGGCTCCAGTTTCTTGAGAGAGGTTATTCGATCTGGGACATCTTCACGAACTACCACGTCGCGTGTCACTTTAGGAGCTTCAGCCTCAAGGGCTTTCGTAAGGCGTACTGGAAGCAGGTTCAAGATGGACCCCTTCGGCCTCCTTCTGTGCATCATGTGATGGGTCCTCCAGAGGTTCCACCAGTCCCTGAAGCTCCCCCTCAAGAGTACTACTGTGACCTCCCCGACGGCAATGGAGATCCTTGTGGCCACGTGTTCTACTCCATGGCGGCCTTGAGAGCGCACCAGTGCCACCACCTGTCGCACATGATCAGGGTCCCGATGCATCAACTCGTTGTCACTAATCAGTGCTGCTACTGCTCCTCTACTTTCTCGTCGGTGGTACTGGCCAAGACACATGTGGTGCAATCCTTTCGAAGACGGCGTTGCCTGACAGATTTCAGTGCTTATTCTCCCCCTCTGGTAGTGCCAGATGACCTACGCTGTCCGATTTGCGTGGGCCCCGAGTCGGCACACGAGGCGTTCAGAGAAAGGTGGACCGAAGCCGCACGGGTTCAAGGACCGTTTCAGACACTGCTGGAGCTGCAGACCGACATCCGAGAAGCTCACGCCCCATCCGCTCCCGACTTAGTGCTGGATGTCGGACCTGGCGGAGCGGGCTCTCGCCACTGGAACAAGGCAGCGGCGGCGAGACCTCGACGGGCTGCGAGGCGATCGGACTCGGAGCGGCGACCGCCGAGGCCGCGGAGACAGGAGAGCCGTTCCCCCTAGCGAGGCACGGGCTCAGCGGCGGCGGCTCCAGGGGCAGGGCAGTCCCAGCAGCACGCTCGGGACGTGTGGGCGGCTACCGACAACCACTGCGGCCTACGCTAAGCAGACGTACGAGGCCTACAGGCTGCCCCGATCGAGCACGTGCAGACGATGATGCCCACCCTCTGGCGCATGACTCTCAGGCACGAGCAGGCCACCAATCACCTGGAGGCCGCCATGTATCGCCACGTTCAGTGTCCTGCCAACCACGACGTGCCCCAGTCGATGATGCATGCTCACCGCACGATACTACGGGCAGGAGGCCAAGAGACTTCGAGGGGCGAATCTGGCGGCCATCCAGAACGGCGAGACCATCCCCGAGCTTGAGGCGCTCGGCATCCCGCACCCCCACGTGTGGAGCGCGCTGATAGGCGCGCTGGTGGTCCAAGGAAACAAGGTAGGGCAGGCCAACGCGAAGACGATCAAAGAGTACCAGGACCGCATGAAGGCAGAGGCTACCTCCAATGGTGCGCTAGCCGACCAGGTCCGTCACTGCAGGCTTCAGACGACACACTCCCAGGACAAGTTCAAGACTTGGATCGAGGCGAAGGCAACTGGCATCGAGGACACAGTCGTGGCTGCACTAGTGCAGCTGTGAGGAGTACACAAGCACGGGACACCGCCGCGCAGTCACAATGCCAAGCCAAGCTTCTGCAGCTACACCTCGACGCACAGTAATAGATAGGTTGCTGGCTGCTGCGGGTCCGAGGGAGGGAACTGCAGGCACGCACTGCTCACCTCTTGAGCAGACTCTCGGAGGAAGAGAGTGCCGACCTGGCAGGTCCACTGCTGTGGACGAGGGCCCCTCCGGCACGCACAGCTCACCCTCTGAGCCTTCGCTCGAGGGCAGAGGGTACCGACCTGGCGGGTCCGAATTGGCGCAGGCTTCTTCTTCCCCGATGGCAAATACTCCTCCGTGTCCGATGGCCACGAGCCGGACGATGATGAGAGCTATTGCTTTCCCGCCGGCTCCTCTCCGACCGCTGGCGGCGTGGCCTACTTCGAAGGACGGCAGCGCGACGGCTTCACAGTCTACGGGCGCACGACCATGTCCTTCCTCTTCACCTTCGGCAAAGGGGAGCGGGAGTTCGGCTATTCTTAGACCCTTGAATACGAGTAGGCCAAATAATCTTGCCATTGCCGCCGCCTCTCCTGTGTCTCTCACTCCTACCCCTCCCCCGCTCCCTCTCATCAGAGTCTTCGAGATGCTAGGATTTAAGAGACGCGGGGGGGCCTGAACTTTTTCTCCTCCTAGCGGTCCAAAATTTGTTGAGGTGTGTCGCGGCTTGGTTTAAGGCTCGGCCCCCCTTTTCCTTTCAGTTTTTCATTGGAGCCCATGCCCCACGGCTGTGCCCCGCCTTCAAAGCATTGGGGCCGTCCAGCCGAGGTGGGCGCACCGAGTGCCACGAGTGACTTGAACCCTTCTGGTCACTGCGCCCTCCTAGAGGTGAGTCAGAACGGAAACCCTTTTTAACGTTTCGGTTTCGGAGTTCCCAGCGCTGCAGCAGGACCCGTTGGCACACTTCTGCAGCGTCGTTCGTTCGTTCGTTCTCCTGCTCCTCCTCGTCCTCCTCGTCCTCATCTACCTGCTCCTGCTCCTCCTGCTGCTCCCCCTGCTGCTCCTCCTCCTCCTCCTCCTCCTCCTCCTCCTCCTCCTCCTCCTCCTCCTCCTCCCCCTCCTCCCCCTCCTCCTCTACCTGCTCCTTTCTCCTGCTCCTGCTCCTCCTCCTCCTCCTCCTCCTCCTCCTGCTCCTCCTCCCCCTCCTCCTCTACCTACTCCTGCTCATGCTCCTCCTCCTCCTCCTCCTCTTCCTCCTCCTCCTTCTCCTCCTCTCCCTCCTCCTCTCCCTCCTCCTCTTCCTCCTCCTTCTCCTCCTCCTCCTCCTCGATCGCCTCCAGCGGCCGTTGCGCGTGGAGAGCCGATCTTCGTCGAGAGTGACGAGGGACCTTCGGCGGCGTGTCCAGGGGGGGGCGGCAGACGCAGACAATCTCGCGCTTCGGGAACAAAAACATCACGCCCAGAGGTGTTTTGGCACGTTTCGGCCTTTGGGGGGCCTCGCCAGGCCCCAGGGCCGGCAAAAGACAACTCGGGATGATAGAGCGGATTTGGTACATGGGTCGGGGTTTCGGGGGACCGCGTATTGAAGCACAAATCGATCCGTTTCGATACCCGTTGCGGCTGGTTCGATCCGATTCGACTCCGATGCGCCGTCGATCCGATGGGCCTCGACGCTTGCATGGCGCTGTTGTGCATGGCGGTCCGACGTACGACCCGATCCTTCGGCGGCGACGATAGGGGCGCATAGCCCAGGGGCGGGCATTACACGCATTCGCCCGGGAACCTTTTCGAAGACATCGATCATCGGCGCATTTGAATACATGTTTTGCTCTCCCCTGGGCTATTCGCCCCTATCGTCGCCTCTGAATCCTGCATGTGGCAGCGCGCCCAGGAGAGGTAGCGGGCCTTCCTTGAGATCTGGGCGACGATTTGTTTGTTTGACACAAGGCGTTCTCGCCTGCTTTCAATCGGGCCCTGGGGCCCTCACGGATCGATCCGGCATACAAGCACGGCGCAACAAGGGTGACTCCAGGGCTTTGGGCGTGATCCTTCACGGTGTTCCATGTTTTCGTGTCGTCGGATCTCAGTAAGGGTGGTGGGCCTTCTCAGAAGGCTCAGAAGGCCCGTGGCCATCTGAGAACCTTTCTGAGGGTTCGCAGAGGACGCATGTCCGTAATGACATTCCCCCCACCCCCTCGCTATGCGACAGTTCTAGAGTTCTCGGGAGCTCTTCTCGCTGCTGCCTGGAAGTTTGCTCGCCTCGAGATGCTTTCCAGCAGCTGCGCATCGCTGAAGGTGCTCGGAGCGCCAGAGGCCCGAGTTACGAGCCAGAAGCCCATCAGGGAGCCTGGACCCTTCGCACGGGTGGCCTTTGGTGTGAGCCCGCAGAGAGTGCCCCAGCACTGGCCCTGGGGATGCGGACAAAAACACAGGCACGAACACACAGAGAGACACACACACACACACACACAGGGACACACACACACACACACACTCGCTGAACCCGGGGACGCGGCGCAAAATCCTATCAGACCAGGGGACGCCGGACAAAACACTGGACCTGGCGACGCGGTGTGCTTTTTCCTCATCCCTAGGTCCAGCCTTGTTTTGACGCATCCCCAGGTCCGGTGTTTTTTTCGTCCACGTCCCCAGGCCCAGCGTGCCTTTTGTGCTTGTGTGTGCGTCTTTTGCGCACATGGGCTTTCGCCTGCCTGCAGCTCCCCCTGAAGCTGCGCACGAAAGGTCACTCTCGCCCAAGGTCACCCCCAAGACCCCCGATGCCATGACTTTTTCACAAGCGTCGATCCCCAGAGGTATCGACTCGTTCCCCTGGACCGGCTCCTCATCCCGAGTCGTTTCTTGACGGTCCTGGGGCCCAGCGAGGGCATCCAGGGGCCCGAACATTGCCGAAAGCTTCCTGTCATGATATTGTCGCGAAATCAACCGGATCCCTTGATCCCATCTTTCTGCAACTGTTGTCGAGCTGGATCGATCCGCGAGGGTCCTGGGACCCGAAACAGTGCGAAGACGCCAGTTGCGATCAGCAGCAGATTGTCCAGCGTTTTTTTGTACGACACGAGGGCGTCTTGCCTTTTCGTGTCAAGGCTCAGCTGGAGAATGCTGCGTGCGGACGCGTGCGGTTCGACGACGGTCAGTCGCCCCCCTCCATCTCACGCTGCGGCGCGGGCCACGCTGTCGCGATTTGCAGTGCTCGCGTGTGGAGCTCAGAACCCTCGCCGCGTTGAAAAAAACGAGTGTCTTGGTTCTGAGTGTGGCCGGAGGAGTTCCGGCTCGGCGGCGCAGACGAGCTCGGGGCCCTGGGCACCGAGCATGCCGGCCGGGGCGAGGAGCGGGCGGCGCGGCGAACGGTTCGAAGGTTGCTGTCCCCAGGGACCACACGTGCAGTGCCGGGGTTGGCGCTCCGTCTTCCCATCCCATCGGCGTCACCCCAACATACTCATATTGTATGTGCGTCGCCCGGGGGCGACGCGCGCACCGAGGAATCTTACAGTATATGCGTCGCGGCGGGCGCTTTCTGGCCACGCCGCTCGGGAAACGAGGTACTACAAGATGGGTGTACTAGATGTTCGGGTCGGGCGCGCGCCTCCAAGGAGGACGTACAGTATTAGTACGTCTCTGGGCGTCCCATCCCACCATTATAGGGGCATGCGCAGTCCCTGAAGACAGGGCCGGGGTGGGCACGAGTGGCCATCATGGCCGGCTCACAATCAAAAGGGGCATCATGGCCTCGTCGTTCATCTCGTCACTGATGGCCTTCCATGCGCAGCATGCTCTCCCCCCGCGTCGCGAGCAAAAGAGCCGACGGGCGGTCTTTTGCTCGTTGACAGTTTTCGGCCTCTGGGGGCCCTCGCTGGGCCCCAGGGCCGTCGGAAGAAAGAGCTCGGGAAGAGAAGCCGGTCCCGGGGAGCGGGTCCAGCGGCGAAAGCATCGTGACATCCGGGGGTCTGGGGCTGTGGCCCCCAGGGGCCCAGAGGCCGCAGGTGACAGAGCATCGGACGGTGCCAGGACGAGGACGAACCCGTTCCAAAGCGTCGCGGAAGGCTCTGAGAGCCTGCTGGCACGCTCTGAGAAGGCCGCGGCGCTCGAGGCAGCCTCCATCGCCGCCGGATCCCAAAGGTTCTCGCTCGCCCGAGGTTGCCCTCGTCCGGCCTGCGTCTCGCAGGGGCCGCACGTGGCAGAAAGCTCCCGCACGGAGTTTCTCACCACCTGGGATCTCGAGGTTCCCAGACATCCGGCTGCTCCAATTTGTCCGATGCGTGGGCCCCGGAGGCCCGGTCCACTTCCCCAGGCCGGCTTCTTTCGTCCTGAGCCGCTTTGTGACGCTCCCGAGGCCCGGCGAGGGCCCCCCTGGGGCCGAGAGTTGCCAAACTCCAGCCGCTCCCAATTTTTTGGGGGGGGGGGGGGGTCGGATCTCAGGGTCCGGGGAGCGGGCGGCAGCCCTCGATGGAGCGGCCTCGGTTGGGCGGCCTTCGGCGGGCGCGGGGGGGCCAAGCCCTGGCGCGTGGGCCGCTGCTGCCGCGCCGCAGGCAGCGATCGGCAGGCCCAGCCCAGTTTTCTCGCAGCTTTCGGGCTCTGGGGTCCCTCGCTGGGCCCCGGGGCCGTCCCAGAGCGAGGCAGCAGGGAGAGCCAGCCCCGAGGAAGTGACCCTGGCCTCTGGAGGTCCCGCATGGAGAGACGCAAGACGTGGGAGTCCCAGGACGAGGCAGCAGGAAGAGCCAGCCCTGGGGACGAGGTCCTGACTTCCGGGGGCCCCGCACTGAGACACGCAAGGCATCGGATGCGTTGAGGCGCCACGCGCCGGACGCCACTCCGGGCCACTCCTGCGCGCCTGGCCCGAGAGGAGGCGCTGGAGGGCAGGGACGCCGCGGGCAACTGCCTCGCGGACCCCTCGAAGTCCAGGTCTGGTGCGCTCCAAACTGGGGCCTTGCCTTCGAGGGCCGAAGGAGTTGTCATCTCTTCCTCGAAGGCGGCGGAATGTCGGCTGAAGTAAAACGAGGACGCCTCCGCCGGCGGAAGCCTGCGGAAGCTCGGCGGAAGGAGGCGGAAGTGAAAGGTGTGCCCACAAGGGCTGACAACGTCTTTTGGCCCAGGGTGTCCGACATCGGCCAGGTGGAACAAGACGACGAAGGGCATGTGGAAGGTCAAGATATCGCCCTTCGTGCAGCAGCCTCCGGGGCCGGTGCCGCGCCCAGGGACGAGGCCGAAGGTCTGGGTGTTGCCGCAGGGGTGGCCCTGGCTCCACCCCCCGCGTGCTGCGCCCCCACCGGAGCCTCCCCGAGGCCCCTCTGGGCCTCGTCAAGGGCCCCTCCCCGAGGCCTCCCCGAGGCCCCTCCTCCTCCTTCCTTCCTTCTCCTCCTCCTCCTACTCCTCCTCCTCCTCCCCCTCCCATCCTCCCTCCTCCCTCCTCCCTCCTCCCTCCTCCCTCCTCCCTCCTCCTCCTCCTCCTCCTCCTCCTCCTCCTCCTCCTCCTCCTCCTGCTCCTGCTCCTCCTGCTCTCCTCCGTGGGTCGGCTACGCGTAAGAGTGAGCCTTCTCATGAGTGACCTTCTCGTGCGGGCCCACAGGGGTGCCCCGAGCACCGGCTTGCGCGCTCGGATCTGGCCTCCCTGCGGGCCCCCGGAAGCCGCGCAGCAAGGTTCGCTCTTGCTCAGGGTGACGCCTGCGTGTCGCCGAATGTGTGTGTGTGTGTGTGTGCGTGTGTGTGTGTGTGTGGGTGGGGGGGGGGGCGAGGCAGGTTTTCCAAAACTAAACGGATCTTCCCAAACCAGATGTTGCGGAACCAGACCGCGGGGCCTTCCTAAACCAAGCTCGGGGTCTTCCCGAACCAAGCGGGTCTTCCCAAACCAACCAGCCGGGTCTCTCCAAACCAAGCGGGTCTTCCAAAACCAACTGGCTGGGTCTTTCCAAACCAACTGGGGAAAGTGGTTTCCTGGAACCTCCGGGGGGGCCTCTTCTGGGCCAGGGACACCGTTGGCAACACCCGGAAGGTGGCATTCTTGATGTTCGTGAAGGACACGGTCCTGAATCCGAAGCTCTGGCTGCAGTGGATGCGGGATGCTCGGAGCAGCGGCCTGGACTTCAGACTCATCATCCACGCAGCCTGGATCCACAGACCGAACGGAGAGTACGACCCCAACCAGTTCTCGCAGAAAGAGTTCCTCGAGTACGTGTCCCCCGAGTGGTCGGCGACGAAGTGGTGCAACATGTGGGACGCCGAGTGGTTGCTCATCCAGCAGGCCCTGAAGGACCCGGACGTCACGCACATCCAGATCCTGTCCCAGGATTCCATTCCCTTGAAGCCCATGCGCTACATCTACCAGGCGCTGCAGGACGACCCCGTGACCCGCATGTGCGCGGACGACTACGTCTACAAGCCATGGCCCCGTGCCGAGACCTGGTGGGTCATGCGCCGCGGCGACGTCGAGCTCTTCAAGCAGCACGAGGCCCAGGCCAAGACGTGGTTCCGCGTCGAGTGCTCGGAGGAAGAGGCCTGGTACTACCCGCTCCGCGCCCGGATGGAGCGCTGGGGCTGGGAAGCGGCGCCGGTGAAGGACGAGTGCGTCATGTTCACAGACTGGGCGGAGGGGAACCACTCGTGCAAGGCGTGGGCCAGCCTGGTGAAGCAGTGCCCGAACGGCTGCAGGGTCACGCGCAGCATGCCCCACACGGAGTCCGCCACGAAGCATCCGGCGGTCTTCCAGAGCCTGTCGATTGCGGCCTTCAGGGAGCTCTTGGCGTCCCCCTTCTGGCTCTTTCGGGGAGGAACGGGTGCCGAACGCGCTGGCCCTTGCCTCGCTTTCGCCTCTCTCTGGGCCTCCTGGCCTGCCCTCCACCGCTGGGCGTGCGCCTCGAGGTTCTGGCCAGGACGCACCCCGGGAGAGGTCCGGATGGGGCAGCGGGGTGTCCGTACGTATCGGCTTCCCCAGGTTCAGCCGCAAGTTCGCTGACGGCGCGATCTCGACCCCCAACAGGTTTGCGGCGTTGCTCGAGAATTACACGGCCAATTACACCGACCCGGGCCTGGGCTACGAGGAGAGCCTCGGCGTTGCCACCCGCGAGGACCATGATGATGATGAGGAGGAGGAGGAGGAGGAGGACGAGGAGGAGGAGGAGGCGGAGGAAGAGGAGGAGGAGGAGGATGAGGAGGAGGATGAGGAGGAGGAGGAGGAGGAGGATCGAGGAGGATCCAGGAGGATCCAGGTGGAGGCGCAGGAGGAGGAGGAGGAGGAGGAGGAGGAGGAGGAGGAGGAGGCGGAGGCGGAGGCGGAGGCGGAGGCGGAGGCGGAGGCGGAGGCGGAGGAGGACCTCGCCGTCCACTGCCCAGGACCTGGTGGACCTGCCGGACCAGGTCGTGCCCGCCGCCCCCGACGCCGTCGTCCCCGACACCGTCGCCACGCCCGCCGCCGACGCCGCCTCCGACGCCGTCCACGAGGCCGCAGTCCCTGACGCCGTCGTCTCCGACGCCGTCGTCCCCGACGCCGTCGCCACGCCCGCCGCTGACGCCGTCGCCGAGGCAGCGCCCGACGCAGTGCTCGCCGGTGCCCCCGAGGCAGTGCCCGGCGCCGCCCCCGACGCCATCGCCGGCGCGGCGTGAGAGCGGCGGGCTGCGCGGCCACCGGCACGACCCGCAGCGGCACGACCGGCAGCGGCACGTGACCGCCTGCCTGCCTGCCTGCCTGCTTGCCTGCCTGCCTGCCTGCCTGCCTGCCTGCCTGGACCTCGCTCTCGGTCGAGCGTCGCCCTGCTCCTGCCTGCTGTGCCTCGCTCTCCGCCGAGCGTCGGAATTGGCGCCTTGGTGCGCTGCCGCAGCCTGGCCTGCCTGCTGCCCTCTGCCTGCTGCCTCCTGCCTGCTACCGGCTGCCCTCTGCCTGGCACCTGGCACGTTGGCCCGTGACCACCTTGGCTCAGGCCGCTCCTGGCTCTGGCGCCCGGGCCGACGTGCCGCCTGCACATTTGGCGACGACGGTGCTCTTCGGGTTGGAACTCAGGCCTTTGGCGGCCGCTGGAGACGATCGAGGAGGAGGACGAGGAGGAGGAGGAGGAGGAGGAGGAGGACCAGTGTAAACCCAAGAGATCAACGATGTTGGAATAAACCCTCCCTCCAAGCTTCCCCTTCATAGGCCCTTACAGGGGTTCATTTCCACCGTGGGAACTGCCGCGTTGGAAGACAACCGTTTGAAGACACGGAAGCATGCCAAAACATTGCTCTCGGGATTCCAGCGCCACGGGTCAACCTGGTTGTTGCATCTTGACGATCCTGAATCGTGCCAGAACGCAGTTCTTGGGACTTCAACATTGCGAATCTCCATAACTGCTCCACCCTCATAATCCTGAATCGTTCCAAAACGCCACGTCTGGCGCATTGATCAATGAAGCTCTTGCAAGCTTCTTAATCGAATGAACACGGCGCCAAGGCGAGAGCTACATTCTGAAAAGGAACCGCCCTCAATCCGTGAAAATCTTGCACTTTTAACCACATGTGCGCGGCGCTAAGGCGAAAGCCAAATTTTGAAAACGGGTGGCCTTCAATCCGTGAAAGTCTTGCAAACGTTTGAAACGAATGTGCGCGGCGCTAAGGCGAGAACCACATTGTGAAAACCACCCGCCCTCCATCTGTGAAGCTGTTGCTAATGTTTAAGCTTCATGGTCATAGATGGTGAGGAAGTCTCAGGCGAAACGCCCGGCCCGCCCTCAACACTTGCTTCGGGGTGCGACAAGGAGAAGTTGTTTAGAAGGAGAAGGAATGGAGGAGGAGGAGGAGGAGGAGGAGGAGGAGGAGGAGGAGGAGGAGCTGGAGGAGGAGGAGGAGGAGAAGCTGGAGGAGGAGGAGAAGCTGGAGGAGGAGGAGGAGGAGGAGGAGGAGGAGGAGGAGGAGCTGGAGCTGGAGCTGGAGGAGGAGGAGGAGGAGGAGGAGGAGGAGGAGGAGGATCTCGTCGAGGCACAGCTACTGGGAAGCACCCCGAGGCTGGACGAAAACCGGAGAGGGCGCCCGAGAACGTCGAGCCCCGTGGCCGCGCAGCCTCGCGCCGCTGCCGGTCCCTCCTAAGCCAGGGGGGAGCGTCTCGAGACGGCCCCGTCAGCTGCCAGGTCAGGAGGCGTCAGGGTCAGGGAGGGCGTCTGGGGGACTCAGCGTCTTTGGACCCAGCCACCCTCGAGCCATGAAAAAATCATGACGGAAGGTTTTTCCCCATTTTCGGCCTCGGGGGGCCCTTGCCGGGCTTCGGGACCGTCGAAAAACGATCTGGGATGCAAAACCGGTTTTTGGGAACGGGTCGAGATCTTTGGGGGTCGACGTTGTGACAAATTCATGACGTCGGGGGTCCAGGGATCCAGGTCGGGTGCTGCCAGGAGTGCCTCTGGCCCAAGGCGCTCCCAGGATTTCCAAGGAGGCTCCCACGGCCTCCCCTCGCGAGGCCAGGGGGGCCCCAGGAGGAGGAGGAGGAGGAGGAGGAGGAGGAGGAGGAGGAGGAGGACGAGGAGGACGAGGAGGAGGAGGAGGACGATCGACGACGAGGAGGAGGAGGCGAGGATGAGGAGGAAGAGGAGGAGGAGGAGGAGGAGGAGGAGGGCAACGAGGACGACGATGACGAGGAGGAGTAGGAGACGATCGAGTAGGAGGAGGAGTGGAGTAGGAGGAGAGGAGGAGGAGGAGGAGGAGGAGGAGGAGAGGAGGAGACGAGGACGAGGCGGAGGAGTAGGAGGTGGAGGAGGAGGAGGAGGGAGGAGGAGGAGGAGAGGAGGAGGAGGAGGAGGAGGAGGAGGAGGAGAGGAGGAGGATGAGGAGGAGGAGGAGGAGGCGGAGGAGAAGGAGGAGGAGACCCCCCCGCGTGCCCCAGGGGCGGGCGGGCGATGCTGAGCCGGGCCCGGCGCTTGAGCGAGCTGGCCGGATGGGCCGCCGCAGCTGCATGCGCTGTGCCCGCAGCTGCTGGCACGCGTCGCGTGGGGGGGGGGCGTCGGCAGCAGGAAGGGGGCGCAGGCGGAGAAGCCGGAGCACGGAGAAGGGGGGATAATGATGTTGATATTGTAATGGCCTCCGGCCAGTGCCGCCGATCCGGGGGACTCCGGATTCGATGATCGTCGCGGCTCTGTGGCCTCCTCCCTCCTCGATTCTTCCGGTCCTTTCTCTTCTTCTTTGGAACGGGGGCGCAGGCGGAGTAGCCGTAGCACGGAGTAGGGGGATGACGATGCTGATATTCGTGATGATGATGTGGTGGTGGGTGGTGATAATCGCTGGTGGTTGCAATCGTGGTGGGTGGGTGTGGAAGGGGGGATAGGGATGCTGATGTTCGTGATGATGGTGCTGATGCCGATGATGGTGAGGAGTGTGGTGATGGCGGTGGCGAGGGCGATTGCGAGGAAAAGCAGGAGCACGGAGAAGGGATGACATTGATAATGTTGGTGATGATGCTGATGTTGATGATGCTGGCGCTGAGCGGTGACGATGATGATGGTGTTGATGATGATGTTGGTGGTGGTGATGACAACGATGATGATGATGATGATGAGGATGAGGATGAGGATGAGATGACGACGACGACGATGACGACAACGATGATGATGATGATGATGATGATGATGATGATGATGATGATGATGATGGTGATGATGATGGCGCTGACGTTGATGATGGAGTTGGCCATGACAAGGATGACGAGGATGATGATGCTGATGATGATGGTGGTGTTGGTGGTGATGATGATGATAATGATAATAATAGTAATAATAATAATATGAATAATAATAATAGTATCAATAATAAATGATAATAATAATAGTAACAATAATAATACTAATAATAATAATACTAATAATACTAATACTACTAATAATACTACTACTATTAATAATAACATTAATAATAAAATTATTATTATTATTATCATTATTATTACTAGTAATAATGATGATAATGATGATAATGATGACGATGATGATAATAATGATGATGATAATGATGATGATGATGATGATGATGATGAGTATGACATGGCCTCGGTGATGATGTTGATGGTGGTGGTGGCGGTGGTGGTGTGATGATGGTGAGGATGTGGAGGAGGAGGACGAGGAGGAGGAAGCGGACGAGGAGGAGGTGCATGAGAAAGAGGAAGAAGGGGGCGAGGTTAAGGAGCAATTATGATTCGAGCTAGACCTTTCTGGGTCTTGGGGCGGTGCCTAGGAGGCTTGGAAGGAGCAGAAGGAGGATTAGGGGGAGGAGGAGGGAGGATGTGGAAGGGGCAGCGGGAATGGACAGAAAAGGAGCAGGGGGTAGGTGAAGGTGATCAACGTCTCGATGCCCCGCTCGTCGGGACGTGGAGGAACAACATGGAGCGACATGCAGCGGCAGGGGGAGGGGGGTCGAGGAGGAGGAGGAGGAGGAGGAGGAGGAGATGGAGCAGGAACGCGAACTGTAACGGGTTACATTGCAAAATCATATGGAGGTGGGGCAGGAGGAGGCGGAGAAGGAGGCGGAGAAGGAGGAGGAGGAGGAGGAGGAAGAGGAAGAGCAGGAGGAGGAAGAGGAATACTACGAGCTACAAGGAGCAGGGGGAGGAGGGGGAGGACAAGGAGTTGGAAGAGGGGCTCGAGGAGGTCAAAGAAGCGGTGGGGTGGGGGGAGGAGGATGAACAGGAGGAGGAGGAGGAGGAGGAGGAGGGGTGGGCACAGGATGGTGTGGTGAAGGGAGGACGCAGAGGACCAGGAGGTGACCCCGCACCCCGCGCGCCGCGGAGCCCTCTGCGCCGCCGGGGCCCTCCGGGCCTACACCGCAGTAGGCTTCGGCGAGCGGCGCCCTCGGCGAGAGAAGCGCGCTGCCTCCCCTCGACCTCCACCTTCCGCACCTGCCGGGCGGCAGATGCCGTGCAGCGGCCGCCGCCAGCGCGGCCGCACTGGCGGCCGCCGTCGAGGCCGCAGCGGCGGTCTCGGCGGTCGCCGCGGCCGCGCCGCGGCGGCACCTGCTGCGCGGAAGGCTCGGCAGGGGGAGGTCGTGGGCCTGCGCGCGCGCGCCCTGGACGCGCGAGAGCGTGGCCAGCTGCTCTGGCTCGGACTGCTGCCCGCGTCGTCAGAGAGCCCTGAGATCCTGGCGTCCTGAATTCACTCGAGCCAGGCGTGTTCGCCCCTTTTTCGGGCCCCGGGGCCTCACAGATCGATCTGGCTCGAAACGTGCCGCAGAAGGATTGGGTCCAGGGCTCCGCTTGATGCGATGCTGCAGTCTTGCTCGCGCCGTCGGATCGCAGGGGCTGCTGCTCGCGTCGTCGAACGAGTCACGACGCGAGGTTTGGGGACGGTTTCGGCCAGCGGGGGGCCCTCGCAGGGCCCCCGGACCTTCACAAAGCGACCTGGGATGACAGACCAGGTGCTGGGGAAGGGTTGAGACTTCCGAGGGCTGCGCATTCAGCCATCACATGTCTGGGAAGATATCAGCCCGCCGCTACCCTTTCCTCGTTTTCGCCTTGTTGTGCCTCCTGGGAGGCCCTCGTCGCCACGGCTGGAAATTCGCCTCGAAGTTGGGGTCAGCACTCATCCTGGAAGATATCCAGGCAGTATCGTCGGACGGGGCCAGGACGCGGATCAATCCGTTCCAGAGCGCCCCGCGGGATTCGAACGGCGACGCGGCGCAGATTATCAGTGTTTCCCCGTGTCCCGGTAAAGTGAGGGGTGTGCCGAAATTGCAGTGTCGTAGTAGCCATGAAGGCGTTGCTCACTCGTACGTCTACGCGTCCCAGAATAATGTCAGGCAGGACATGCGAGAGGGGTACCCCGAAAAGAGGACTTCGCAGCCCTGAGGGCGCATCTTGCTCGTGTTTCCACGCGCCCCGGGAACTGCCACGCGCGTGGGCCTCGCGCTGGCAACGCATGTCACTTGTATGTTCACGTGCCCCCAGGAGGAGCCATGGAAATCGGCCGGCGGACTGCGCGAAGCCCGTCTTAGCATGCCTCGCGAATGCCACCTCAGGATCTCAATTTCATCGTCAACCCATCCTCATCAACTCATCACCTTCAATTTCATCATCATCTTCAATTTCCTCACCAACTCATCACCTACCCTCGGGCCCTACATCATGGCCAGGGCTCGCAGGGGGCCCACCGACTTGAGCCCGCAGAGCGGGAGTCACGGCGGGCCCCCAGGGGAACGCTTGCACGCAGACTTTGCAACCAGTGGGTGTGAGGGATGTTGCCTCGACGAGGGTTAGTGCCAATCGTCCCGAGGGGGGTTGATGTTCAAAGCGCCCTCCGAGTCAGATTGTCGAGGATGTCCCAGCAGCTGTGATGCAGTCCTGGTTCGCGGTGGTTTGAAACAGCCATAGTTTCGAGGATGTCCTAAGCCAAACGGTCATTATTGAGACTCGGAGTCCCCTTCCGAGGCTCATTTGTCGAGGATGTCCCTAGCGAAACCGCAATTTGTTTTTAATTCAGAGTCATCTCTGAAGCCGAGTCGTCGAGACTTTCCTTCGCGAAACTGTCATTTTTTGAAATTCCAACTTGTCCCCGGAGCCGAGTTGTCGAAGATTTCTTTAGCGAAACCGCAGGTTTTGATATTCATAGTCCCCTTCGAAGCCGATTTGCCGAGGATGTCCCAAGCGAACCGGCAGTTTTGAGAATCAGAGTCCCCTTCGAATCCGATTTGCCGAGGATGTCCCGAGCGAAGCTGCCATTCGAGGCCGTCGAGGCGCATATCACTCGTATTTGCACGTGCGCCAGGAGCATGATGGCGCAAATCCTATGCATTTCCACATGTCAAAGGGAGAGTGGAGGTGTGGCTGCCCTGCAGCTGCCCTGCGGCTGCCCTCTTCGGGTCCTCAGGCCTCGGGGCGGCGGGATGCGCGAAGCCCCTCTCGGCATGCCTTTCTGCATGCGGTTCCCTCTCCTCCGTCACGTCCTCCATCTCATCGTCCCGTCTAGAGGTCAAGCACGGCGAGAGCCCGCAGGAGGCCCGCCGAATTTGATCGCTTCGCCAATTCCGCTGGCCCATATTGCACCACAGTTGCTGGATGTTGATGTGCCCATGGCGGGCGAGAAGGGGGATAGGGGACTCGATAGGGGAGGGAGAGGAGGAGGAGGAGCAGGAGGAGGAGGAGGCCTTTCAACAGCTTCTTGGGTAACTGTGGGACCAAACTGGGTCGCGAACAAGACGCCTCTTTGAAAGGCTTCTCGGGGTCTCTTTCGGAGGCCTCTCGGGGGGCTCTTGGCAGTCAGCATTTCTGGGACCTCCTGAGGCCTCTTGGAGGCCCCGTGGGGCATCTTTTGGGCTTCCAGCGGCCTCTTGAGTGCTTCTTGGGGGCCTGCTGGCGGTCTCGGGGACCAACTTTCGGGGAAGGCTCGATGTGTCTGTTCGGGTTTCCCCTGTTGGGGCCCTCATGGGAGGCTCTTGAGTCCTCTCGGGAGGCCGCTTGGGCCATCTTGGGGCCCTCTTCGGCCGTCTTGGGGCTATCCTGGGAGCATGTTGGGCTGACTTGGGGTGACCTTGAGGGCCTCTTCGGCCGTTCTGGTCGGTCGGAAGCTTGAACAGGCGGTAGCGCCAAAGTTTTGTCATAAACCCGAGCGGAATCAATCAATTTTGCCTCTTCGGGCCCCCTTGGGATCCTGTTGGGGCCCTCCTGGGTCGTCTCGGGCGCCTCTTGGGCCGTCTTGAGACCAACCTGGGCCATCTTGGAACGTTCTTGGCCTGAGGCCGTGGGGCCTGCCACCCATTTGGCGCCTCCTTGGGGCGGCCCTGGGGCGCTCTGGGGGCCCCCAGGGCCGCGCCCAGGAGTTCCGGCATCTCTGGCCGGACCTTGCCGGGACCTTTCCAGGAGCTTAGTAGGGCCTTGCCAGTGTACTTTTTCCGTTCAGGGACCCCAGGGACCGCCACACGCGCGCGCGAACCAGAAACATTCTTACATTCTTGAGTACTCCTCTGGCCCGGTCGGCGGGCGAACTATGCAACGTCTGGAGGGATGGAGGACTGTTCTTCTCATAACGCGATCTCGCTGGACGCTTCGCTAAGTCGAGACACCCGAAGCTGCCACACATGCAGAGCTGCGCAGATCCAGAGCGCCTTTGTTCCCAGAATGTAGCGGCCGCTTGAAATTTCCTTGGAGGTCATGGCAGCAAGTGCAAAGTTGTGCAACAGTTGCACAGATGGGGTGGTCTTTCTTACGGGGATAGTTGGTGCTGGACGCCTCCAGGACATGTCGGATCATGGTTAGTTCTTGCGCTCTCGGTCAGACGCCAGGAAGATGCAAGGCAATTCTTTTCAAGGCGGGGCCCTCGCCAAAGTGCCAAGCCCAACTGTGATGGTCGTTCAAATGGAGCGCTTCTCGTAGTGAAAAGGTCAGCTGGTAGGGGCGAGTGAAGAGGGGTCTCCAGACTAGAGGGTGTGCTGTAGCATCGCTGATGCATTTTCGGTTTACTCTAGTTCTCTTCCTCCTCCTCCTCCTCCTCGCTCCTCCTCCTCCAACTCTCCTCCCCCTCCCCTGAGATCCGGCGTCGCGCAAAACATGCAACATCGCCAAGACTCACGACCAGAGCCCTAGACCCCATCTTCCTGCGCCACCTCTCGAGCCAGATCGGTCTGTGTTAGCCCCGATGGTCGAAGCTGGGGGAACACGTGACAAAATGGCAATGCCCAGATCTCGGGGTCCTCGTCCACCCCTGCTCTCTTCCCAGACAACGTCCACACCCAGAAGTCTCGACCCTTCCCCCGGGACCGCCTTTTTTTGTCCCGAGTCGTTTTTTGATTGACAGTCCCGAGGATCAATAAGGGCCACTGGAGCCCGAAAGAGCGAAAAGCCATACGTCATGACTGCGAAGGCCTTATGGCCGGTGCCGCCGACCCTGAAGGAGGACGACGACGGCAACGGCGTCGGCGGCGACGACGACGCCGCTGACGTGGGCCAGAGGCACGCTTCTTGGGGTCTCTTCGGAAAGCTCTCGGGGGCCTCTGGGGAGGAATTCTGGGGCCCCTTGGGAGCCTCTTGGGGGCCTCGTCGGGCTTCCTGTGGACCTCTTGCGGGCCTCTTGGGGGCATCTTGCGTCATGATTTCTTCATGACCCGAGGGGGGTCTGGGCTCTCCTCCTAAACACGTCGGTCGTTGAAAGTAGGCATTTCTTGAGTCCCAGATCCCAATCTACTTTAGGTGCCTCCCTACTTCAAGAGCCGAGTGGTGTTCCCTCCGCCCTCGTCCTCAGGGGGCGGGCGGAAGCCCAATCTGCTTCCAACGCCTTCCTACTTCATGCTTCGACCCGCCCCTCCCGACCGACGTGCACAGCCAGAGGCCATATGGCCCCCTCGCGGGCGGCCCCCGCCCCGCGCCTGGGGCTGCCCGCCATGCCCGGCCCCGAGCGCGGCCAGGGGCAGGCGGCGCCGGATGGCTCGGCGGCGGAGTGGCTGGCGAAGGGGAGGCTGGTCACCCAGGAGCGCGTCGCGAGGGCACGGTTTCCTCCTCACGGCGGCGGCGGCGGCGACGATGGCGACGGGCGGCGGCGACGCCGACGGCAACAGCGGCGGCGGCGGTGGCGACGAGCGACGGCGACGACGGCGACGGCGACGACGACGGTGGCAGCGACGGTGCCGTCGGCAACAGCGGCGGCGGCGGCGTCGATGGCGACGGCGACGACGACGACGACGACGACGACGACGGCGGCGGCGGCGGCGACGACGGCGGCGGCGGCGGCGCCGCCGGCGGTGGCGGCGACGGTGGCGTCGGCAACAGCGGCGGCGGCGGTGACGGCGACGGCGATGGCGACGTTGACGGCAGCGGCGGCGGCGGCGGCGGCCGCGACGACGATGGCGACGGCGATGGCGACGGCGACGGCGTCGGCAACAGCGGCGGCGCGGCGGCGGCGGCCGCGACGACGATGGCGACGGCGATGGCGACGGCGACGGCGCGGCAACAGCGGCGGCGGCGGCGGCGGCGGTGGCGACGGCGACGACGACGGCAACGGCGGCGGCGGCGGCCGCGGGGACGACGGCGACGTTCACGGCGGCGACGGCGACGGCGACGTTCACGTCGCTGCGTGTGGACACGGACAAAGCTCAGGGCAGTCCCTGAGGGCCAGTGGGTCCGCCACGTCCGCGGCTGGCAGTGGACACGACGACGACGACGACAACAAGGACGACGACGACGACGAGGACGACGGCGGTGGCGGCGGCGACTACGACGTTGGCAACAGCGGCGGCGGCGGCGGCGTCGGCGACGGCGACGCCGACGGCGTTGACGGCGGGGGCGGCGACGGCGGTGACGGCGACGGCGAGGGCGACGTTGACGGCAGCGACGGCGGCCGCGGCCGACGACGCGACGGCGACGGCGACGGCGACGGCGACGACGGCGGGGGCGGCGGCGACGATGACGACGACGGCGACGGCGACGGGCGGCGGCGACGACGGCGGCGACGACGGCGACGACGACGACGGGGGCGGCGGTGGCGGCGGCGGCGATGGCGACTGCGACGGCGATTGCAACGGCGGCGGCGGCGGCGGCCGCGGGGACGACGGCGACGCTCACGGCGGCGACGGCGACGGCGACGACGACGACGACGACGACGGCGGCGGTGTCGGCGGCGCCGGCGACGGCGACGGCGACGGCGACGGCGACGGCGACGGCGTGGACGGCGGGGGCGGCGGCGGCGGTGACGGCGACGGCGATGGCGACGTTGACGGCGGCGACGGTGGCGGCGGACGCGACGACGATGGCGACGGCGACGGCGACGCATCGGCAACAGCGGCGGCGGCGGCGGAGGCGACGGGCGACGGGCGACGGGCGACGGCGACGGCGACGGCGACGTCGGCGGCCGCGGGGACGACGGCGACGTTCACGGCAGCGACAACGACGACGACGAGGACGACGGCGGCGGCGGTGGCGGCGACAACGACGACGGCGGCGGCGGCGGGGGTGTCGGCG